CGGGAGGGGCCACTGCACTCCCGTCTGGGCGACAGAGTGAGACTCCAACTCAAAAAAAAAAAAAAAAAAAAGAATTGTAAATGAGCAATAAATAGCAGTCTTTTAAGAGATGTTTGTTTACATTTAAATCTTTACATCATCAACATGACAAGCTTTGGTTCTTATATATCTGGATTACGCTTTCTAGTTATTAAATTGGTCATTGCTGTGATTTTCTCTTTATTTGCAATTTGCTCATATTTTGCTCATTTTTCTCAAAATCTGGGTAGTACCAGTCCAAAGTTCAGGCTAATAAAATTAAACATCTAAGACATATTTTGATTATATTTTACTGGTAGAACACTATAATACACGTAGATGTATTGCTTCTTTTTAAAATTTTTTTATTTTTATTTTATTTTAAAGATGTGGGGTATAATTCTTGGTTAAGTATACAAATGTTCATTATACAAGACCCTTGTTGATGAGGTGTGTCCCCCCCTTCCCCAGCAGATTCCTACTACCTCCAATCCCTCCCCACCCTCTCCTGTCAGTTTCCCACTTCTGCCAATCCTTTACTTATAGTATTATGATAATTGTTCAAGGTCTGCTTGTAAGTGAGAATATGTGATACTCAGTTCTTTGTTTCTGCGATAGGTTATTCAGTATTATAGATTCTAAGTCCATCTAGGTTGCTGTTAACAAAGAAAAACATTTTTGCTTATTCTCTTGAGAAAAGAAATTTGTCATTCACATAATAAAGACTGTGAATAGAGTCTTTCTTATTATATTTTCTATATATTCTATATTTTTGTATATCATCTTTTTCCTACCAAATAAAGTTTCCATCATCTTTAAAGACATCATCTTAAAGTATTCATAATTATTTATCACTTGGATATTTATTCACCATTGGATTTATGGTTTTTATTTATGATTTTTATGACTTTATTCAGGAATAAGTTATCTAATGAATATACTTTAATTTAGGAAAACAACCCCTAAAGAATCTATAGAAAAGCAGTTATCAAGGCTAATTTCTAACTAACCACTAATATGAGATATTCGACTGTCCATTTTAGTATACAGTTAAGTCCATTATTTACCATGGTAGTGTTGATCGTAAGAAGTAGAGAAAGGCCCTTTTCGAGATTAAGAACTATAATCTAGATCTGTGCTGAGCAATACCTTATCCCCTAGACAATTGTGATTGAAGAGTAATTTAAATATCATGATATCTCAATTGAGATATCATGTACGTATACAATTCATGTCAGATTAAAAAATTTTAGTGTGAAAAAGAATACAAAATTACCCAATAATTTTATACTGTATTAAAATAATAGTATCTAGATTCCTTTAAAAAATAATCTGCGTGCTTGAAAATTTTAAATCATATACATGGTTAACATATTTATAGCTACTACTGATCTTGAGGGTGTTTTATGAGGTATTGAGGGTGGGGTGTTTTGATGCAGAAAATAATTGGTAAGACTCTTTATTGGGAGAGATAGAGACTACAGAAAATAGCACACAAATCTTACTTATAAAAAAAAGAGAACTTCAATTCTGCTAAACATAGTGAATATTATGACATAAAAATAAGTGATAACCCTTACTTGTGAGTGTAGACATCTAGACTTTAAGATTGAATAACTGAATTTAACTCTACATTTTCTATATTTTTAAATTTGATTTATTATTATTATTATTTCATTATTATTGGCTAGATCCCATCCTACCACCCAGACTGGAGTGCAGTGGCAGGATCATGGCTCACCACAGCCTCCACCTCCTGGGTTCAAGTGATCCTTCAACCTCAGAGTTCTGAGTAGCTGAGACTACAGGCGTGGGCCACTATGCCTGGCTTAATTTATTTTATTTTATTTTCGTTTTTAAATTTTTATTTAAAATTCTGGGGTACAATTCAGGGCTAGGTTTGCAAATATTCACCGTGCAGGTACCCTTCTCGATGAGATGTGCCCCCACCTCCCCACCACCCCACCTCCCTCCCTGCAGTTTCCCGCTACTTTCAATCCTTTTCTTACAGTAATACGGTAGTTGTTCAAGGTCCACTTATGAGTGAGAACATGCTATACTCAGCTCTTTGTTTCTCTGAGAGATCACTCAGTATTATAAACTCTAATTCCATCCAGGTTGCAGCGAAGTTCATGATTTTGTTCTTCTTTGTGACTGTGCAGTATTCCATTGTGTATGTGTACCACATTTTAAAAGATCCAGTCCTCTTCTGATAGGCAGCACAGTTGAC